CTAGTTACATGAAAGGACATATCTGCCCTTGGTGTTTACATCATTACTGCTAACAAATAACAAACAATATAAAACTGAAACTAGAAATAACAGAATAGCAAAATAACCACAGCTGTGACTAGATACATTCTACCCTACGGACAGAGTGGGACCACAGCTGTGGGGCCCACATCAATGTTCTCTACAAAAACAAAGCATCAACTATGTCTATGGCAGATCAGGAGTTTTGCCCTTTCTCTGTAATCAACTTAATAACTCCCTAAATTTACTTGGGCATCTTTTCCTTATATTTTTGTGATGTCAACGAGGAATGCTACCCCCAGGCTTGTGTAGCACTTTTTGGTTCTATCAAAATAATAATAATAACTCTTTGTTTTGTATGACCAGAAAACGGGCTCTGCTCATATCTTTCTTTTCCCCTTCTCATTGTCTGCCATTAACACACACACACACACAGGTGCATCATCTCTCTTCTGTATTTCTGTAATATTCAACATAAACAAAGGCTTCATCCATTCTTTTTTTGTTCCTTTTCCTATTGATTTATAACAAACAAAAAGTCTCTTTGCATCTCCATCTCGCATGAACAGAATATGGATCCACCCCCTAGTGTTTTTATAGGCTATGTAATGTTTCTTTTATTCCACCATTAACTAAACTAAAAAAAAAGCTAAAAGTAACCAGATTTTTATATTAAAAGAATGTCATCTAGGTGATGCCTAGGTAGGTGCCATGTTGCTTTGATGCTAAAGCACCACCACTTTGCCTGGCCTCACCTAGAAGCACCTTGACAACTATGTTGGTTAGTAACTTAGTATGGATTCTGATGGGAAAGCATTCTTCATTTTTTAATCTACAAATTTTAGTAAATGTTTCATGGGTGTCTTAGGAAGACCAAACCTTTCATTTTTCTTTCATTACCAGAAGAAATCTCAATAATGTCTTGTCCCTATTATTTGGGGCTGACAACATGAATCATGTTCCTGCTTTCCAGTAAATCAAATGCTTTCCATGAACTTGTTAGTCCCCTACCCTTCCCCTTTTCGTTTTGATCTTCAAGTGCCATTAACTTGCACAAAGTCACCTTTCACTGGTTTATTCATTGTATGTACATGAATAGTGCATCTCATCTCAATGTTGTCACCTTAATACAAAAAACAGCATCAGAAAATTTGTTATGCCTTCATTATTGAGGTGACAATGTTACCCATTCATTCAATGGTATTATTGTTGGCTATCCTTGATATTTTTTACCTTAAAGTACATAGCACAGTTTAAATATTGTCTTAGTTATTAGTTTAATAAATATTTCATATAGCTTTGTTTTGGACTTTTGTCCTTAAAACAAATTACACCAATGCTTTTATTTATCACATTTCCCATCTCTCGTCTTTTCAGAATCTGAAACTCCACCCTTACACATTTTATGGCAGATAGCTGTATTTTAGTTGTATAAATTTTCATAAGACAAGTGGAGATTATGATGCCGTCCATGTTTTAAGTTTTTTTTTTTTTTGGTTCTGTGATTCCACCCTTTTGTTTCACCTTTTATGGTGGATAGCTATATTTTATTGTATAAATTTAAAAATATGAGGCCCTCCACGTGCCTTGCAAGTGCAGTATTGCCACCAGGTTTATACAGTTTAGGGCACTATGATCCTAGCTGCATCTTAGATCCTGCTTCACAAATATATCTGGTTAGCCTTTTTTCTTCACCTTTTATAGTGGATGCTTTATTTTATTGCATAACTTTAAAATTATGAGGCCTTCCATGAGCTTTGCAAGTGCAGTAATGCTGCCAAGTCTACACAGTTTAGGGCACTAAATTGTGTAATGGCCTTTTTTTCTGTTTATAAAACTCAGTTTGGATTCTGTCCAATTAAAAAAACAAAGGAAAAAAAAACTCAGTTTAGATTCTTTCCACACAAAATTGTTCCAGTTATTGGTTATATTCCACATATGCTATTTAAAGTATTCAATTTCATCATTTTTAGACTATTTGTTGTTCATGTAACTCAATTTATATTCTCTCCTTATAAAAATGTTTCAATGCTTTTAGATCAAGTGAATATTTTTGAGGGTCCATTTGGTTCGCGGGAATAGGGGTCTGGAATGGGAATCAAAATGGTCCCAATCATTTGGTTGGGTGGACTCCAAAGCCTATTCCCATTTCTAGTGGAATGACATCCCCTCATTTGAGGAAATGGTCATTCCCTCCCCCTCCCTTGAAAATGAGAATCAATTTCAGTTGATTTCAACTCCAATTCCAATTCCGTCTTGTAGAAGGAATAGACCATTACAACTCCGATTCCAACAACTTTTGATTCTGGTTTCGATTTCCGTCCGAACCAAACGGGCAGTGAATTATTGTTTCTTTATACATCATGGTAAAACATATTAATTGAGCAAGTAAGATGCTTGTGATTTGTGAATTGAATATCTAGATTTATACACATAATACCTTGAAAAACTTCTAAAAAAAAGCAAAATACGAACGTGTTGTTGCTTGTTTCTGTTCTGTTGGTGATATTTTAATTGCATTTACACTGCAGGTGGAGCATGCATTGCCTCACCAGTTTGTTCACGTGTTTAAGGATGGCCAACTTGTAACATCCCCAGTCTCTCACTCTGGGGGTTAGATGACAAATCGTCGGCTATAATATTCGGCAATTATTGCGTAGAATATGAGAAGCTGCTTTCTGCTTGTCTTATTTTTTCTCCTTTGCTCCAATTAAAGGTCAGCGTCTGTATATGGCCTATATATGTAAACCGTTATTCATTGTTTTTTTCCGAGTTTAACTAAGGTGCATTTCATATATTTGCTGCACGTTAGATCAAAATTTCAATCAATCTTGTTAAAAGACAGTCATATGGTATATTTAATTTTCATTGGTTCATGTTATACAATGCGTACTTTTACATTTCGACTCTAACAATGTTAAACGTGTCACTATGAATCCCGAACATGTCGCATAATTGCTGATGTGTTCACAGCAATTTTCATAAAAATCCACTATAGATAATTTTTTTTCTTGATCAAACAGTTGTAGTATTTATTTTATGTTTTGGGCAGAGTTTGAATCGTGACTCGTAAGCCGTAACTATCCTTTGTCTTTGCTGAGTTTTCTGGCAGCGGTTTTTGTGGCATAATAAGTTGCAATTTTGGTTTATTGTCTCTTTGAGAAAACGGTGCTGCTGATGTGTGGTTGAAAGTATTTTTACAGCAATTTTTTTTCTGTTTGGTACTATTGTTCTAGGAAACGTTTTTAGCACTAGTATTCATTATTCAGTGTCACATCACGGCTTTGTTGGCAGTAATGAGTTGCAACTCTAGAAAATGCCAAATTTAGCATTGTTCCAAGCAATGACTTTCTGATTTCCGAGGCATGGCTTGGAGTACCATTTTTTATGAAAAAATGGTTTCAAACAAGTGCCCATTTCCTGGAGAACCGTTTTTTTCGATATCGTGCTGATGTAGTGTTGTTGCTCCAGGAAACGGCAACAATGCCAAACAGCTGTTATGTTCACATAACATCCAAGTTGCAACTGATAGTGGGAATTCTTGGAGAGATGTATGTGATTGGATTCTCATGTTGCAGGGAATTCCTTCTCTCATTACTGTCACTGGTAGAATATGAATCACCTGCAAACAAAATACATTCTAACACCCTTACAATATGGGTCTGGAGTCAGCCGTTCAGCAGAAATTGATTTTCTATCGATCATTAACGCATATCATCTTGACGGACCTTGTGATTTGTGATATCTTTTAGCAGTGGTAATCATGGTTTTCAAAAACTGGACTGGACAGTCCAATTGGAAAAATTAGGAATTAGTCATCTGATCAGTTCTATTTTATCTCAGAACTGTCATTTTGGCCAAAAACCATTGATTTGATCAGCAAACTGCTGATCCAGGTGATTGAACCATTCGAACCATCCAATATTTTTTGATTATTTTTTAATTTTTTTATTAAAATGGGCCGTCCATTCAGTTCATTTGGCCTAGGAACCGGACCCTGAACAGTTTTGGTTTGATTTTAAAAACCTTGGTGGTTGAGAAAACTGGGAACATGTTCCATCTTGCAACTCGAAAAGTGGTACTTTATTGGTCGTATGGTCCAGGTCAGGGACCCAATAGCTGCTTCAGGGGGTAGTAAACTTTGGAAGAGTGGAAGATTATAGGTGATTGTACTTTTTTCACATGCCTGCTTGTAGACCGGATCCTACCATACATTGGGAATATCTCCCGTACTTATAAATTATTATTCACGGGAGATGTTCTCAATCCACAGTGGATGTGCCTGTGAGGAGAAGATCCCGTTGTCGTGTCTGAGTAGAAACCAGATTCAGTCAGTGCATAACCCGTTCTAACAGCCATTATAGCCTTGCATTTCAGTTGGTGCAGAACCCGTTCCAACAGCCATTATGGCCTTGCATTGGAAGAATTCAGCTTCAGTCAGGGCAAACTCTGACAACCTTTACTGCCTTGCATTGAAAATATCTCCTTACTTATATGCTTTATTTCATGGGGAGATATTCCTAATGCAAGGTTGGAAAAGGCTGCTAAAAGGGTGTGAGCATGAATTTACTCTAACTGAAACGGTTTCACATTAAAAATATCTTTAAATAAAACACATAAGTACGGAGATGTTCCTAGTGCAAGGATGTAAAGGCTGTTCAAGCACCGGGCCTTGCACTTACTCAAACCGATCTCGCCTAAGTACACCCAATAGGCAGCATCACATGATCATCGTACAAAAATATTGAATGCATACTAAATGCCTAAAACCGTTTTTAGGGAAGGGACTTTTTGGATCCAAACTTCTCCGAATCGAAAGTACAACGTACATCCTGGTTGTAACTTGTAGGCCGTCAATATTTCATATCAATCCATAGATTCCCATCCAAATGCTCTTAAGAAAAGCATTTGATATTTCAAGAGGCAGAGGTAGTTGAATAGCAATATCTACATGAAATGTTTTAAGATTGATTTGGAAACACAATGATCAAGTCAAATGGATAAATCTATGATATTATAATTAAATTATAGGGTAAAATACAAAAATTTTCCTTAAAGTTTCTGATAATCATAAAAACCTTCCCTATATTTTTACTTTAATAAGAAATTCCCTTCTATTTTTAAAATCAACAAAAATCTTCCTTCCGTCAATGACCAAAATGAAAAATGTTAAACCGATCATAATTTTTTTTAAAATACCTATTTTACCCAGTACCGCGCCATTAAAGCTTCCATCAAGGTTGGGAAATCAAGGATTCGATGGAGTAGAACGTTTATGTCTACTACTATTTCTCTTATTTCTCTTTGTAGAAGCAGACGTTGACGAAGATGTAGACGTAACGGAATTTGACAAAGATGTAGTAGAAGCAATCCTGCTTGAATGACACCTCAGCTTCTTCTTATCCCTCTCATAACCCCTGTTACTCTCTGACCTCTGATTCCCGACTTTGACCGCATTCAAATCCATCGGTAGAACAAAGTTACAGAATAAACCTTTGATTCATTGATCCAAAACCAGTTCAGATTTCAGAGCGAATTAAAAAAAAAAAATAAAAGCTATCAACTCACTGGTAGAGGAATACACAGGCAACACAGAGAAGTCCGAGCGTTCATGGAAAAGCTGGCAAAGGAATACACAGGCAACGCCTACAATCTCATCACCATGAACTATAACCATTTCTGCAACTATGCCTGCCTCAGACTCACTGGTAATCCAATCCCTCGCTGGGTCGATGAATCTGAACTGGTTTTGGGTCGCTCTGAAATCTGTTGAATTTGTTAAATTAGCCATCTGTTTGCTGTTTGCTTCCTGCAGTACATGGCGTCGAAGGCATATTCGACGCCAAATAATAAAGGTCGTTTTCGGTTTCGAAAGAAAGGATGTAAAAGCCTTCACCGACGCCAAATAATAAAGGACGTTTTCGGTTTCGAAAGAAAGGATGTAAAAGCCTTCACCTCTACGCTCTCTTCTCACTCACTACTCATTCTGCTCAGTGCTGACTAACCATTTGTCGTCTTAAGTTTTTACTATTGGGTATAACACCATCTGTTCGAATGATGTGTAAAAATCTGGGTTTTCTTTTTTTTTTTATATATTTCTTTTTATTTCCTTTTCTCCTTCATTTCTCTCCCTCCCTCACTATCCCCGTGATTCCAACCAAAATCTGTCCCATAAAATTATTTTTCTCAAAATGTAAAAAAGAAAAATAGTATAAGGGGAAATAATAAGAAACTGAGAGAGAGAGAAAGGAGGAAGGAAAAAAAACCTTCTTCCTTTTTGGTTTATCTCTCCTTAATAAGCCTCATGACTTATCCTCTTCTTAACTCGTGTTGTATCTACTCGCAACAACAACAACATCAACGAACAAGGATGCGATTCCCACAGTCGTCACTCCGAAATGGTGAGACTCCACCTCGAACGTCAGCTCTCCCTTTCCATTCAACTGTGTCCGTGCAAAAGCTCCGACTCTTCGACATGCTCATACTTGTATTCCGACTTGCCTCCTTTAGCTTCTCTCTTGCCTCTGCAGTTTTTATGACCACCAATTCTCACGGCTTTGATTCCCCTAATTGGCACGATTTCAACGCTTTTAGGTACCCCCCTTTTCTTTCTTCGGTTCTTCTTGTCTGAACTTTAACAAGTTACAACAACGAGAACGAGGGAATATTAATTATTTTATTTTTTGTCATAGATTTGTTTTGGCTGCAAACGCAATCGTGGCCTTCTATTCCTTGGCGGAAATGGGAGCTTCGATTTGGGAGATTTTGAAAGGAACAACTTTGTTGCCGGAGATCGTGCAAGTCTGGTTTGATTATGGTCACGATCAGGTCGGTGGAGGTGTTCGGTGGGAGAACCCCATTCAATCTCTATTCTGGTTGGACAAGCTGGAGAACAACTCCCCCACAACCATTGAAATAGTCTCGTTCCTCCCAAGTACCACCCTACTGCTGCACTGATGCTGATGACACGCTCTAACTAATCTCCAACGCAAAGCAGAACAAATCCCTCGCTTGAGTTCATTATACCGGGTACAAAAGAATACAGTGCTTGTCCTAAGGAACGCGAATTAGAGCAAAATGTCTTGATAATTGCTATCGCGATCAGATGAAAGATTGAAAGGTGCTTTTGATGGAGTTTGGATGAAAATTTGAAAGAGTTGTGTTCGCTCTCTTTTAGACAGTGGAGTTGGATAGAAAAAGAGGTCGATGGGAGAGGTAAAGAGGATAATATGTCGATAGGGGTATTTTAGTAAAAATATATGCAAACTAATTTGTAAAAGGGTAAAATAGAAATTTGAAGAAATTGATGAAAGGGAGGTTTTTGTGGATTTCTTTAAAAATTTAAGAGAGTTTTTTGCTAAACCAAAATTGTAGGGAAGATTTTTATGATTGTCAGAAACTTTAGAGGTGGTTTTTGTATTTTACCCTAAATAATAAATATATAAAAATAGAGAAAATGTAAAAATTATAAAAAATTAACATATTTCTAATATTTTATATTTATCATATTAAATAAAATAATTATGATAAATAAATTTTATTTTTATTGATAATGACAATGGATAAAAACACAGACACAAAAAAAAAAAAACTGACAGATTTAATATTTAATGGTTCAACCAATCAATCACCAAGTTTATCAAGTAAATCGTCTTTTACGGGCAAACAATTTGGTAATGAGGTTTGGCCGGTGATGGATCAATCAATCCTGTTTGGCCACGGATTGAAAGCACTGTCCAGATCTAGCTTTATGTAATTGTCCAGTATTCCTTTTTATCTTGCACTATCTATACCTTTTTATTATTTTTTTTTGAGAAATATATACCGTTTTATTATTGTTTTTTATTATCCCACTGGACAGTTCTACAAAAATGGA